CCGAGCCAGAACTTTTTTTTTTGAGACAGAGTTTCACTCTGTCACCTTTGGTACAGTGCCGTGGCATCATAGCTCACATAGCCTCAAACTCCTGGGCCCACGCAATCTTGCTTCAGCCTCTGAACTAGCTGGGACTACAGGCAACTGCCATAATAATGTCTGGCTGTTTTTAGAGACAGTATCTTTGCTTTTGCTTAGGCAATCCACTCACTTTGGCCTCCCAGAGTGCTAAGATTACAGTGTGAGCCACTTGTACCTGGCCTCCAGGAAAACTTTTAAAAAGAATTTTAGTTGCATACAATTTTCTTTTTTTGAGACAGAGTCTCACTATGTCACCCTTAGTAGAGTACTGTGGCGTCACAGCTCACAGCAACCTCCAACTCTTAGGCTTAAGTGATTCTCTTGCCTCAGCCTCCCAAGTAGCTGGAACTGAGACACCCGCAACACCCGGCTATTTTTAGTTGTAGTTGTTATTGTCGTTTAGCTGGCCCAGGCCAGGCTGGAACCCACCACCTTGGTGTATGTGGCTGGTGCTGTAACCACTGTGCTAAAGGCACCAAGCCTAGTTGCATAAAATTTAAACAACATAAATATATAAAAACTGGAAAACTGAGTATACAAGTTTGTAAATTTATTAAAAACTAGTGAATCATACACTGAATGTAGGTGAATTTTATGGTATGTACGCTATACTTCAATAAAGCTGTTAAAACCAGAGGGCCTGGCATGGTGACTCCCACCTGTAATCTCAGAAGTTTGCTGGGCTAAGAAAGGAGAATCACATGAAGCCAGTAGTTTGAGACTATCCTGAGCTACATAGAGAGACCCCATCTGTACAAATAGTTTTTTAAAAAAACTAGTTTGGGTATGGTGGTACACACCTGTAATCCCAATGACTACTCCAGGGGCTGAGACTAGAGGATTGCATGAACCCAAGAATTTGAGTTTTACAGTAAGTTATGATGATCCACTGCACTCTAGCACAGAGCAAGACCCTGACTTCAAAAGCAAAGGAACAAGAAAACCACACACAGAGACACACATGCAAGCCAAGACAAAACAAAGCAAAAAACCCCAAATGAACAAATAAACCCTGGAAAACTGAAAACTTCCTCATTTCCTTCCTGAGCCTCCACCCCCCCAAACCTTTTCCCAATAGGTTACTACTGCTAACATTTTTTTCAATGCATATATAAATATATGTGTATTTTTTCAGTTGAATAATATGTTTGTAGATAACAGTATTCTGTAACTTGCTCCTTTTAACATAAAAATATATTGTGACACATTAGATTAAACTTCATTCTTTTCAATGGCTGCACTGATATTTTATTTACTCATTTATTTTTGAGACAGACTTTCACTATATTGCCCTCGGTGGAGTGCCATGATGTCACAGTCCACAGCAACCTCAAACTCTTGGGCTTAAGCCATTGTCTTGCCTCAGCCTCCCAAGTAGCTGGAAATTCATTGTTGTTTAATAGGCCCTGCTGCTTCAGTGTATGTGGCTGGCGCCCTAACCATAGAGTATGGGCGCTGAGCCTGCACTGCTATTTTAAAATCACATTTCTAAAATGGATGAGGAGCCTGAGACCACGACTTTGGGGTTGCTGTGAGCTATGACGCCACGGCACCTACTGAGGGCAACAAAGTGAGACTCTGTCTCAATTAAAAAAAAAACAACTTATAAATAAAATGCATAAGGAGTATTTTGTTCTGCATCAGCTCAAGCATTATTAATAAGGTCTTTCAAAAGATCTTATCAGTCTGTGTCTGAGGTCCAATTCTCTTTGGATTCTTCTTTCCTACTTAGAAAGACATATGCTTGTGTAAAGAAAGTAAGGTCCTCTTTATTTGCTGTTTGATTGAAGCTTATTTCTAAGGTGATCCAAAAATCTTAGAAGGATCAAGAAGTTTAAACATTTTTTTCAGAAAGAGCATTTATGATAAAGCTTAAGAGCCTTTGATATTTTAGATCATATCTAAGTCTCACAAGGGATATATTTTTCCTCTTTCATTTTTCTTATCCAAGGAAATTATGACATTATATGAAATTGTAAAGTGTCATGTCATTATCCTTTATACAGACCAAAAGTTGAGTACTGATTTTATCAATTTGGTATATGGAAGTGAGGATGGAGGCACATGTTTCCTTCCTAAAATAATGGTATGTACTTTCTTTTTTTAAACCTTTCTCAGGATAGAGAGATGAACTACCAACAGAATCCTAGAGACAACTTCCTTTCTTTAGAGGACTGCAAAGATATTGAAAATCTTGAGTCTTTCACAGATGTCCTAGATAATGAGGGTGCTTTGACCTCAAACTGGGAACAGTGGGACACATACTGTGAAGACTTAACAAAGTACACCAAACTAACCAGCTGTGACATCTGGGGAACAAAAGAAGTGGATTACTTGGGTCTTGATGACTTTTCTAGTCCTTACCAGGATGAAGAGGTCATAAGTAAAACTCCAACTTTAGCCCAGCTTAATAGTGAGGACTCACAGTCTGTATCTGATTCCCTTTATTACCCTGATTCACTTTTCAGTGTCAAACAAAATCCCTTACCCTCTTCATTCCCTGGTAAAAAGATCACAAGCAGAGCAGCTGCCCCTGTGTGTTCATCTAAGACTCTACAGGCTGAGGTCCCTTTATCAGACTGTGTCCAAAAAGCAAGTAAACCCACTTCAAGCACACAAATCATGGTGAAGACCAACATGTATCATAATGAAAAGGTGAACTTTCATGTTGAATGTAAAGACTATGTAAAAAAGGCAAAGGTAAAGATTAATCCAGGGCAACAGAGCCGGCCCTTGTTGAGTCAGGTTCATGCAGATGCGGCAAAGGAGAACACCTGCTACTGTGGTGCAGTAGCAAAGAGACAAGAGAAAAAAGGGATGGAGCCTCTTCAAGGTCATGCCACTCCTGCTTTGCCTTTTAAAGAAACCCAGGAACTATTACTCAGTCCCCTGCCCCAGGAGGGTCCTGGGTCAATTCCAGCAGGTGAAAGTAGCAGCCTTTCTGCGAGCACATTGGTCTCAGATTCATCCCAGAAAAAAGAAGAGCACAATTATTCTCTTTTTGTCTCTGACAACTTGAGTGAACAGCCAACCAAATGCAGTCCTGAGGAAGATGAGGAGGATGAGGAGGATGTTGATGATGAGGATCATGATGAAGGGTTTGGCAGTGAGCATGAACTGTCTGAAAACGAGGAGGAAGAAGAGGAGGAAGAGGATTATGAAGATGACAAAGATGATGATATTAGTGATACCTTCTCTGAACCAGGTACTACAATGCTTAGAGGCTTACCAAACTGACGTTCTGTTACTATTTTGATATAGAAAATTTTTGTTTGGATGTTTTCTTTATTTTAGTTTGGGGATTAAGTGACTTAATATCTTGGCTTGGATTATATAATTGCTTTTTTCTTTTTCTATGATTCTTTTTTATCTCTAAAATGATAATTTTGCTCATATAATAGTTCATATGCAGCAGGCTTACCCTTTATTTTTTGTTAAGTGAGTTTGTCACTTTCTTTAGCATTTCTGAAAAGATGCCAAGAATTTATCAGTTTTAAAAATATTCCAGTTTATGTGTCCCTTTACTATAGTTAAGTTAGGAATATCTAGAACAGTGAACCAAGTGATGATGGTTTATATTGGTCATGCCTGTAAACAACAAAGCCTACTTATAAATAATGTGAAAGGGAGCTTTTTGTGTTTGCTACATTTTGACATACAACATATTTTCCTGTTGAAAAAATACATGCTATAATTTGATGAGCATGAAGAAGAGTCTGCTTTATTTATATACAGTGTGTATAAATTAAAAGGACAAAGCAAACGAAATATTTGGGGAACTGGTTCCCTTAAGCATTTGCATACTTGGGTTTTGCTATTGTTGGCCTCTGTAGTTTATTTATAAAAATGGAATTGCCAAGTGGCTCACAGTTAAAAATGCACAAAGAAGTGAAGCTCTTCAAATTTAAAAGTTTTCTTCAAAAAATAGTTTTGGTATTCATAATTCTACATAGAAACTAAGTTATTAAGAAAAAACTTTATAAATTACCAGAGAGAGCCATTTTGTTATAATGACAATTGTTAGAATTTCAGGCTGTATAAATATTGATATGTAATATTCTGAAAAGTGTATAAGGCACAGTAGCTATTTGTAGCTAGTGAAGCACTATTATTGCTGAAAGTCTTTTTTGTTTTGGTGAAATCTTTCTATTACACAAATGCTTAAATTTATGCATTTGACATAAGTTATTTGATTTGGGTAGTTTCAAGTAAGCAAAAAGCACTTTATTGTGGCTGAAAAGGATTGTGCCTTTTTCTTTGGTTTACTTTCTAACTCTGGATAGTCTAGATAGAATGATTATCTTTTTACTAAATAGGAAAATTTTTGGCATCTGCTTTAAGTTGTTTCAAGAAGATGTGTCTTTATAGGTGCGAGTAATTTATATAGTTACTCCTCCTTGGAAAATCATAGTGCTGTCCATGAGTTGTTCTTAAAGTCTGACAGACCTATTGCTTTAGTCACCTATTTAGGATTAGAGTAGGAGGGTAAGGGCAGAGGAGATGGGTAGTAACTAAGGGAAATGGAAAATGTGGGGAAGGAAGTACCTTTACCAGCTGGTACTTGAAGTAATATGTAGGTCAGAGAAAATAAATTCTACCATCATGAAGGCAGCAAGGAGTATATTTTCTACCCCAGTTTTGCTTGTAGTTTTGCTTTTCTTTGACTTTTGTTCCTAGCTTCATTGAGAAATACTTGGCAAGTAAAAATAGTATACATTTAAGGTATACTACATGAAATTTTTGGTGGCAGTGGTAAAAATATTTAAGATCTACTCTCTTAGCAAATTTCAAGTACACATTACAGTTATTATTTTTTTTCTTTTTGAGACAGAATCTCACTCTGTTGCCCTGGGTTGAGTACCGTGGTGTTATACCTCACAGCAACCTCAGATTCTTAGGCTCAAGCAATTCTTTTGCCTTAATTTTCCAAGTAGCTGGGACTACACATGCCGGCCACAGCACCCGGCTATTTTTAGAGACCGGGTCTCACTCCAGCTTAGGCTGGTTTCCTGAGCTCAGGCAAACCCACCTGGGCCTCCCGGAGTGCTGGGATTACAGGCATGAGCCACCAGGCCTGGACACGCCCTTCTGTATTACAATTGTTAACTATAATCACTTTTGATATCTAGAACTTGCATATCCTGCATAACTGAGACTTTTTACGCTTTGGCCAGCATCTCACTATTTCTCCCATTCACCAGTCTTTGGCAACCACTGTTCTACTGTTTGTTCCTTTTGAGTTTGACTTTTTTCAGATTTCCGTGTAACTGGAATCGTGCAGTATTTGTCTGTTTTTGCCTGGCTTATTTTACTTAGCATAAGATCCTCCAGGTTCATCCATGTTGTTCTGGATGATAGGATTTCTTTGTAAGCCTGAGTAATATTCTATTTTGTGTGTGTTTATATATATCTCAATATTTTAAAAAAATTGTAGAGATAGAGTCTCACTATATTTCTCAGCCTGGTCTTTTTTTTTTTT